CTCGAGAAGATGATCGCATCCACGTCACCATCGCTGCCACGCACCGCCAGGGGCATGCCACCCGACCATTCAGAGTCCACGTCGGCCGACCCAGGCAAGGCGGGCAAGAAGGGCGCCGGCAAGGCCAAGGGCGACGCCAAGCAGCGGCAGAGCGTCGACCCGGCTGCGGACGCGACAGACAGTCTGCTAGCGGACATCCTGTGTGCATCCATGTGTCTGGCCATCGAGTGGGAGGTCGACGCCTACCTCAAGAAGGCCGCACTGAGGGAAGAGGGCGGCGATGACCAGGTCGAGGACGTCTACCTGACCCCGCCCCAGCCACACAGACCTTTCTACGGCGCTGGTGTGGGGTCGGCCCTGCAGCCCCTCGCCACGGAGGCCTTCTATGGCAACGAGTCGGGCTCCCCGCGGCCCCTCTTCCCTCCCCCATCATCACACGACCCCATCAGTGGCGGCGGGGTGGGCCTGAGTGCGTCAGCCACGCCGCGGGAGGGCGACCTGGCGGCTCGATTCACTGAGGACAAGATCGACCAGCGAGTGGCCCACAACTGCGACCCAGACGTGTTCGTGCCGCCACCCACCAGCAGTGCCAGTGCTAGTGCGAGTGCGGCTGATGTGTCGTCAATCGTGACAGCCGCGCGCGTGTCTGTCCAGGTCTTTTTTGTTTTTTGGTTGACGAAGTGTGCATGCACTTGGCTACAAAACTGCGTGATGGCACGCCGTTGAGCGGACGTCGTTTTGCGCTTTCACATCCTCTTTCTTTTTCGTCCGTGATGTTCACAAAAAGAATGGACGTTATGGAGTTGATGTGCGTGTATGTTCAAATGGACGTTCATGTCTCATTCGAGTCATGTCTGCACGAATGAAGCGTATGTAAAGGCTGAAAAAGTACAGATCAATTCGATCATCAAAGACGAGGCCGCGAAGTCACCGTTCGACTTTCCGCTGCTTTTCCCTCTTCTTCACCCGCTCGAGAACTGCAAAAAGAGCAAGAGGTCAGCATTTCAGCAGAGCAACAATTGAGGTGTCTAGCGGCAAGTACCGCCCTTGACTCTTCTGTCGAGTGTATCCTTGAGCTCTTGGCATGATATACGCGACTTCAGCCTGCATGCATACAGAACCATCATACAGGCCGAGAACCATGCATGCCATAATGCTGCTTACTTCTCTGCCTCCGCGAGGTGCTGTCGCACCAACGCACAGTCCTTGGCGTTGCAAATTGCAAACTCGAGATGGTAGCAAGGCAGCAACCAGTTCATCTAAGGGAAAGAAGCAGGCATTGATGGTGTGCGTGCTGTCTCCTCAAATTGGTCTCTCGTACCGTCGCGTGTCTCGCATGTGTGGACAGCGTGTCAAGACACTTATCCAACTGCGCCAACTGTTGCGACGCCACACCAATACCCTGAATCCAGCACCTCTTGTACGCCACACCTGCAGGCCCCCCAAATTGGATGATTTATCAATTGGTGCGGTGCCACCTATCGTTCGTACTCAGGAGCAGCTGGCACAAAAGCCACTTGTCGTATGTGCTGCCTTGAGTCGGTGAAGAATCTGCAGGGGGGCGCGCTTGCCCGATCTGCAGATCGAGCAAAAAGGAAGATCATCGATGGACGAGACGACTTGCCTGCCTGCTACCGGTGTGAGCATGTCGATGACTTTCAGCAGCACGTCGGCGTCTTCTCGGCCAAGGCTGTTCAAGGCCCTGCCATGGTACAGCGCCTCCACAAAGGCCAGCTGTGCATCCTCACGCCTATGTCCAGAAAGGCCGAGATGACATGAGTGGACATATCTAGCTGCCTTACTCAGGTCGAGAACCGAGCCGTTGGGCCAGTGAGAGCTCCCACAGGGCCCTCGGACGCTGCAGAGAGTTGGAGGCAGTGGTCGAGCAGGCCAGACAGACGATAAGGCACATGCAACACGATGCAAAAACATGTTGCATAGTCAATGATCAATGACCTCGAGGTATGCGTTGTACACTTCCTCTCCTTCATCCACAAATCCGCTCAGCACAGACGCGAGGAAGAGCCAGAAGCCAAAGGCCGACGACTTGATCCCTCCACTGGGGACTGCAGGAGGGAACACACAGATATGCGAAGAGGCAGGGCAGCGTGGCAGTCATCTCACTCACCGCCGAGAGCTTTCCGCACTTCATCGAACTGCATGGTGACGAAGAAAGGCCATGTCGCCCGGAAGGCCCTGACCTGGGCCATCTCCAGAGTGAAGTACTTGCCCTTCTCGCCACCCCACAGCCAGTGCTCCAGAGAGACAGTGCAGCTGCAGATTCGATGCAAGTCCCCAACGTCACCTTTTCTCCCTCATGAGAACGTTTGGCACCTGTCCGAGTGTGTCTTGACGCCGAAGTTGACGGCAGCGGCCCTGGCTCCTTTGTACTCGCTCTTCATCAACCTGCGGTATTTGGACAGTAGATATTCATTCCTTTGAGGCCCGTCTTCTCTTTACCTGGCGTGGAACTGCAAGTATTTTTTGATGTATGGTGGCACCCTGGCAAGAAGATCAGCATCCTGGGAAAAAAGACAGATATGAAGGCAGATGCACCAGGCGGCCGCTGTCATGTGCAGCTGACCGCATCCAGCTCGAACTCAGCGGCGTTTCTGGCGTACTCGACGACCAAAGGTGCCATCGTGACATGGCGGCGGAGCGGCACTTCTGTCGAGTCTGAATCGACCTGTGAGAGACACACACAGAGAGAGAGAGAGAGAGTCTCAATCAAGGTCAGAGGGACAGCTGATGAAGGTTGTGTCTTAACTTCTGAAGCAACGCCTTGCCTTTGTCGAAATCCATCGGCAGGCCTCTGAAGCCACGCAGGGGAAACACGGCCGTCGTCAAGAATGGACCTGTGCGGGAAAAAGCGATGAGAGACATTGGAAGACGCAAGCCAGATCTGGCTCATTTTCACTGACCCAACAACGGTGAAGACACCGCGAGAGCGCGCGTCGTGACATTCGCCGCACCTATGGAATGCATGGTCATGTGTGAATGGATGGCCGCTTGGTATCCGTTACCCACCCTCAAGGAAGTCCATGCCGGTCTGCAGATCTGCTCGCATCTGCATCCAGTCGCTCCAGTCGCGGCTTGAGAGCTCCTCGGCGCGGAACAAAGAGAGATCTGACGCAGACCTGCAGCAACAAATGGCGCACAAAGGCAGGAATGGCGTGTCTCTTCTCCCCAGCTCAGCTCACGTGAGTAGGTCTCTTGCCCTATCGAAGGTGTTGAGTGTCCTCGCCGCGGCGGTGGCCAGTGCTGTTGGCAACACACATGCAGTGCCGTCCTTGTGAATGGTCAACAAGCTTACATGCGATCAAATGCCATTCGGAAATGCCTGACGCATTAGGAAAGGCAACCCAGCTGTCGACAACTTGTGAGTACAGTGTCGCTTGCCCAAGCACCATCTCACACACAACAAGCACCTGGAAGGCAACGAGATGGATGGTAGTCTGTCCATTTGGCTGCACAAGCTCTCACCTGGTCGGCCTCCACTTTCTACCGCTGGGCAATGCCCAGCCACCAGTGGCGTCGACACGCCAACTTCCACTGAATGATAACACATGACAAAACAGTCGAAGGGATGCTTGGGTGTCTGCCAGAGTGGCCTCACCTGTTCGGCCAGCTGCAGTGACATGCCCAGCAGGTCTTTCGCACGAGTCATGCGTGCCTTGTCAAAGTTATTGAATGCGCTGAGGAGCGTGCGAAAAGGGACAGTCGGAGAGAAAATTCGGTTGTTTGATTTGTTTCTTTGCCTACATGATGATGCTGAGCTCTGCCTGAAGGAAGCATGAGACGGGATCGGTGCAGTCGGATGGCCAAGTGGGGTCACAGGTGGGGTTGTGCCAGAACTGCTCATAGGCTGACGAGTCCATTACAAAGACAGAAAAGAAGAGACAATACGCTTGGTCATTCTTTTGATGAGTTACTACTGTTACCCTTCCTCGTCGCCTTGTACGTCTCTGGGCTCCAGCCGGGCGCGCAAGGCCGGCCCAGGGCAGCTGGCGGCTCGCCTCTTGATGATCCATGGCCATGGCTGGCTGCATATCTGAAAGAAATGCGACCACATGCAAAAATGACAGGAACCGAGAAAACAATCGCATTGTACCCGACACGAGGACGAGCTGCATCGGCTGTGTCTCAAGAGCTTCCGCAGACTGCTCTTCAGCCCCTGAAGACAGGCACATGCAGAGGAATGAGAATAACATGTTGCTTTCCCACCTGTGTTGCTGGCTGACAGTGAGGCAGCCCCGCCGTCTCCCTCGTCCCTCTCTGAGGGCATCTCACACAGAAGCGCTCCCCCCGCACACACCTCTGAACAAGACAGGAAAACTCCGCCGACACGCCGACTATACTGAGGGTGGCTACCTACCTGTCCCTGCACCCACGGGAGTGAGGCCGACAGCCGGTCTCTCCATGCTGACGACAGACGGGTTGAAGGGCAGAGGAGGGCTCCAAGAGGGCTCTGAAATACAAAGACGAAATGTGATGGATAACAGTTTGCATTTGGAGGGGCGCTGACCTTCGTCGCCCTCGGTTGGAGGCAGCTCCTGCTTGGCTGGCGAGTCTGTCACATTCAAGGCAAACACGAGGATATGGCGGGTTGTCGAAAGAGGCTCACTGACCTCAGTTACCGTGGATTTGCGATTCTTCCTTCGATACGACATCACCGGAGGCATCAGAGCCCTCTTCTTGGCCACGTGACGGCGGATCTACCACAGACACCACCAATGGAGAAAGACAGAATGACAAGGAGGTGAGGTGGGTGTTCGCTGTTCAGTCCTGTTCACCTCCTTGACCGTCCTCTTTGGGCACATGACGCGCGTCTTGCACAGACGGACTCGCCTCTGCGTCCGAAAAAAAAAGCAAACAGACGAGTTTTCACATCTTTTGGCGTCGGTTGATGGGCCAACCTTCTTCGACGTCGTTTGTTGGTTGGCCACGCGAGGACGAGCCGCATTTCGGCAGACACGTCATCAGACCTGAAAGTACACACACAATGGACGCCATTGATACAATCCTTTCCGTTTGTTGCCCTTTCTTTCTCACTCTTCAACTCACTCGGCTTCCTTTTGCCGTCACTATTGCTCGGCAGGCAGCCAAGCGGGCAGCGTCGAGGCTTTGGCAGCGAAGACGACATGAATGAGACCGATGCCAACGCTTTCTTGGCAGATCTCTTCGTCCTGTCGACGCCGTGTGATCAGGTGAAGGCTTCTTGATCACTTATCTCGTTCCTCCGCGATACGATGAGATGGGATTGGATCGAGCTGCAATTGTAAACTCAGTCGGCGAGCAAGGCCACAAAGGCCACATGCATAGGGAACCCATCCCCTCACTGTGCACAGCCGGCCAGAACTTATTCCATCCATCCATCCATCATCACCAGAGTGTCTGTCTGTCTGTCTGTCTGTCTGTCTCACTCGCGCCTGAAGCGCTTTGGGTGTTGCATGGTGTCCATCTTACGTCTCTTCTCTACCTGACATCAACAATCACACATTTCCCCCCCTCCCTCCTTCGCTCATCTATCTCTCACACACCGACCAGCACCAGGCCACGGATCCATCCATCCATCCGTCCGTCCACCATCGCCGCCACCAACCGTGGCAAAGCATTGCGAAGCTTCAGTGGCAGGGCGCGGCACAGCTGCTGTGTGTGCAGGAGGCTGGTCGCTTCGTCGACTCGTGATTCGACACGAGTGCGCTTCCACGAGCCGACGGATCAACTGGCGCATCCAACACACAACATGCAGCAGTGTTGTCTGCCTGTCCGTCTGTCTGTCTGTCTGTCTATTTGTCTGTCTGTCTGTCTGTGCACCGCCCGCCCCTCTACCTACACACGCAGCAGGCCACGTAACGATGGATGAGAAACTTCCGGATGTTTGATAGGACAAGTGGGCGTCACGGAAATGTCAGTTCATCGCAGGCAGGCAGTCAGACAGGCAGTCAGGCGGGCAGTGAGATTAGCTAGACAGACAGACAGAAACGGAAGACAGACAGACGGACAGGGAGGCAGGGAGTTGGTTTGGCGGCGTCCAGCATTCAGCTGCCAACCAACGACATGTACGAGAAAGAGGTGTTGGTTCATTCGTGTGCTGTCGACTGTCTCTGTTTCTCTGTTACTCGATACAGTATGGGGTCGCTCATCTGAACAAGCACGTACCTGACGTTTGCGCGCACACAGACAGGAGCTACACATGACACACAAAGGCCCACGACGCCTCTCTCGCCCACCCACGTGTGATGGTTGTGTGTTTGCAGTGCATGGTGTAGTAGTGGTACCAGTTGCCCCGCCGACCGTCGACCGAATCCATCACGCGTCCATCCACGAAGTACTTCCATCCAGCCGTGACGTACAAATAGTGTGGTAGAGCACACCACGGCCCGGCCCGGACGGGTACGCAGTGAAGGGCGGCCCGATCTCGTCCAGGTGGTCACGTGAAGTGAATGTCTGGTGACGCTTGGCCCATCGCTTGTCACGAAGTATGCGGGCACAACTCGAGCAGCGGCCGGGCACACCACACGCCGGACTGAGAGCTCCTACAGGCACAACACACACAACACACACATGTCATTGGATGGCCTGCACTGTGGCGCGTGCCCTCTCCCCCCCTCTCTCTTCTTTCTCTAGAGTGAAGAGCCGCGAGCTTTGCAAAGATCTGCCGATGGCGCAGATCTCTATCGTGTGTGCTGTCTGGTGACTCATACGTACTCGCTGGATCATTGCTCTCTCGCTGTGCATCCACTTGCAAAGGTACGCCTTCTCTATGCACCATTCACACACGCTGTGTGCAGGTTTGCGGACGTGTGGACCTCCCTGCTCATGGTGTGGTGTGCCAACTTCAGGTGTGTGATCGTTCGACGTTCGCCGGCCATCCTCTGGACTGCATACAACCGCCTTGGACGCCTGACAAATCGCCTCGTTCGACAATGCTGACCCTTGTCGGGCTCAAATGGGTCGCTGTTGGCCTGCTGGGCTCGGTTGCGGCCATGGCCAGCGACTCCGCTGGTTTCTCCACAAAGGCTGACTATTCGCAACCTATCGTCATAGCCGGCGGAGGTAAGCCACCGCACCGATGTCCCCAGGCTTTCCACAGTGATTTGCCCCTCTCTCCTTTGCATAGGCCCTGCGGGACTCTCGACAGCGCTGATGCTCGCCAAGCGAGGCTTTCGCGACATCACTGTGCTCGAGGCGATGAGCGCAAAAAACTACCTGAAAGACACCGACCGCAGCTACCGCATGGGGCTTCATCCCCGAAGCCAGTGGGTCCTGGAGAGCCTCGGGGCAGCCGACGCCGTCAAGGCTGACGCCTCCCTCGACATTGGGAAGAACGCGACGATTGTCCGGCCTGAAGGCGTGACAGTACGGAGGATTTTCAGAGACCCGACTGACAAGAGGGGAGCTAGCAAAGGGGACGGCAAGAGCCGCAAGCGCACGTACAACGATTATTGGCTAGTGACGCGGCAGACTCTGGTGCGAGGTCTGTTCCGTACTGTGCGGAGAAAGTACCCGCGTTGCATTCGAGTCATCTTTGACGCCAAAGTGGACTCTGTGCGGATCACTGAACGGCAAAGCCGCCCCGTGGAAGTGACGTTTACCAAGCCGTCGCGGGTGCCTTTCTGGAGGAGTCCGGTCATGACAATACGGCAGCTGAACGCATCTCTCGTGCTCGGTACTGACGGCTATCGCAGCAAGGTGCTGGACGCCATGAAGGAGCTCAATCCAGACTTCAAAGAAGTGGTCCTCTCCCAGTGTCCACGGCTTCCGGCCAAAGAGAGCCGCAGAAGGTACAAGGTGCTGTCTTTCCCTGGCAATGTCACCTTCTGCTTCTCACCGAGGTCACAAGGCAACAGCAGTGCCCCTCCGCAGCGCTACCAGCTACACCACGACACCCTCGGCCTTTTCTATTCCGCAAAGGACAACGTCCGAATGAGCCTCTTCCAGGCACCCAGGAAGACTTCGCTTCGCCCCGGCGTCATCGCCGTCGACAAGAGCCACAAACTGCTGTCTCTTAAGACGTGCGATGCGGTGCTGGAGTACTTCGGGGAGGTATTTCCACATCTGCGGCCGATCCGCGTGTTCATATCTCGAGAGGAGGCCGATCGCTTCGCCAAGTCGCGGCCGGGGACGCTGAGTCTTCCGCGGTATGTCTGGCCGCTGCACTATGGGGACCGACTGGTACTGCTTGGCGACTCAGCACACTCTGTGCCGCCCAACATGGGGCTGGGCGTCAACGCAGGTAAGAGGGCAGCGCACAGAAGAGGGGTTGCACGTTTTTTAGCACGATGTGTGTCTTCTCTGCAGCTTTGGACGACTGTCGTGCTTTGAAGGAAGCACTCGACAAGGCTGGGGATGACCTAGCGATGGCACTCCCACTGTACAGCGAGCTGCAGGGCAAGGAGGCCCAGTCGCTTGCACTGCTCGAGTATCGGCACTCGCTGACGCCCGCCTCGGCGATGTTCAGGCAGCTGACGCCCCTCCAGCGTCTCGATTGGCACGTCGAGAAGAGGCTGCGGAGCATGCTAAGAAAGCTCCTGCCGTGGCTCTTTTCGACAGAATTCGAGACCATCCCGCTGCGGACAGCATACGGCGGGAGCCTCACGAAGGTGCTCAGAGAGGCAGATGCTCTGGCCAACACTGCGAGGGCTGCAAAGCTGGCGCTAGTAGCGACTATCGTTCTCGCTGGAGTCCGCGAAGCCATCCGCAGGGGACTCGTTGAGGTGGTGTGGAGCACCTAACAGAGAATGAACAGCCCAAGTCCTGGCGCGAAAACCCGGGCGCCAGAGGGTGAGTGCAAGTTTATCTAGTGTGAGGGCATGGTGTGCGTGTTTGGAGGGGTCGAGAGTGTGAAAATGTCAACCGCTCGTGTGTGAAGAGTGTATGCGGGCGCATGGTTTTGACCTTGCCTGAGTGTGTCTTTTTTGTGTGAGTGGTGTTTTTTGATGCGGCGTATGCTCGTCAAGGTCATGGTGAGTGAAGGCCACGTAAGTGTGTTGCGTCCGGTGAGGTTCTGGTGCCCTCAGGGTAGCCTAAGGCGGGGCGAGGGATGTCTATCATATACACATCTCTATGTATGTATGTATGTATGTATGTATGTATGTGTGTGTCAGTTGAAGGTAGACCCTGTCGGAACGCACAACAATGGACACACACATGTATCTCGTGCATCCACATCCCTCGTAGTCGGGCCGGATTCGAGTGTCACGCTGACTGGCATGATGGAAAAGAGACAAGGCAGAGAGCAGCTGCACACGTAAGCAAACACACAAAAAAAGTAGTCTTTTCGACGGTGGGTATCTCCCCGTCTGTTGGCGTCGCCCCGTTCTGCAAAAGCAGGGCTCAACGCCGAATGCAACAACGCCATTGGAAGAAAACAATAAGGGATGAATCGAACGAAGTTTTCTCGGCTCCCCTTCGCTGGTGTGTTGGATGTTTGTGAGAGAAGTTTCTCTGCTTTTCCATGCTGAGAGCGGTTTCACGGAATGTCCTCTGATCCGCGTCTGCGAAACTAGAGCTCTCTCTGTGAGGCCTCGCTAAAGCGCGAAAGACGGTAAGCCAGCCACACTGCTGGCGAGGAATGAGATCCACTCATCATATCTTTGATCTGTTCAGGACGTGCCGCCTGGCGTGCCGCTCTCCTACCGCCCTTAGAGAGGGAAGGGCTCAGGGCTCCCTCCTTGCTTGACCGGCACCCATGAGGCGGCTCACGCATGCTCTGCTCTCTGGAGCTCTGCTCCTCCTGGCTCAGATCTGCAGCCACGGGGTGGGGGTGGCTCAATCATCAGCGGCGGTCCCGCCGCTTTATCGACGCTCATCATCATCATCTGTGGGGTCGTATCAGAGGCCTTCAGCGACTGCAACCAATGAGGCGTTCATCTTCACTGCCGCGGGAGCGCCGCTGCCTTTCGCAGCACCAGTCGCTGCTCAGCGAGAGAGACGGCATCGTATGTCGTTGGCGGCAAGGAGCTCAACTGTTGCCGACAATGTCATTGCTGACAAGCCAACAAGCCTTCCCCGACCACTGTCCATCGCCCCGCTCGCACTGCTGCCCATCGCGCTGGCATTCTTCGTGAACTACGCGGTGCCATACGCAAGGAATTTCGCGGCAAGGGCAACGTACCTGTACCATGGGGTACCGAAGAATCATGTGTGGCTCGCCCTGCACATCCCATCGGCCGCTGTGCCGCTCTTGGCCGGTCCGGTCCAAATCGCGCTCGGGCTCAGCCGTCGCGGCCGCTCGTGGCCCCATCGCGTGCTCGGCTGGATCATTGCCGCTTCGACCCTCATCAGTATCCCCCCCGCAATGGTGTGCGCCTTCTTGAGCGAGAACATCCTACCCCACAAGCTCAGCTTGATAGCGCTAGACATCTACTGGACGGTGACCCTGGCTGCCGCCCTCTACTTCGTCAAGAACAAGAACATTCAGCTGCACCGCGACTTCATGATTCGCTACTACGCCGCGACACTCACCTTTGTCACGAATCGAATGGGAACCCACCTCGGGGGCGGCCTGATGAGCGGTGTTGCCGCGATCTGGATTACCTTCCTGGGTGTGGAGCTCCTCATCCCTCGCTTGCGCTCGGCTGCATGGTGAAGAAGTTGCTGCATGCAATCAGCGGCAGCGATCGATCCATGTTCGCGTGCAGGTGGGTGGGTGTATCAGTTTGCCTTTTTTCAGTGGGAAGGCGTGTAGTTCCATGCCTCTTGTCCGAGGGAAGGACAGAAGATGAGACATTGTGCTCGTGCGGACTCCTCGTCTTTTTCCTGGAGTGTCGTGGCTGCTTTTTTGGAAGGTCGTAGGTGGATATGATATATGATTGTATGTATGTTTGTATGCCGGGTGCCGAGGGTGAGTGCAAGTTTATCTAGTGTGAGGGCATGGTGTGTGTGTATGACCCCGTGTGTCTTTGAGGGGTTGAGAGTGCGAAGATTTCAACCGCTCGTGTGTGTGAAGAGTGTATGCGAGCGCGAAGTTTCGACCTTGCTGAGTGTGTCTTCTTTTGTGTTAGTGGTGTTTTTTGATGCGGCGTATGTCAGTCAACGTCATGGTGAGTGAAGGACACATAAGTGTGTGTGGGGTTGCGTCTGGTGAGGTTTTTGGTCCCGCCAGCTAGCCTACAAGAGCCTACAAGATAATGAGGGACGAGGGATGTTTGTCATGGACTCGCATGTCTGTATGTATGTGTGTCAGAGAGACCTTGTTGGAACACACAACAATGGACACACACATGTATGCAACAGCAATAATACACATGTGGCAGCTGGCCATCATCGCGTCGCTTCACCATCATGCCCAAAATCGAACACTCGTACACCCACATCCAGCGCACTCGGGGCGGATTCGAGTCTCACGCGATGAATGCCGTGTGTCTGCGTGACGATCTTGGCCAAATGGGCAGCCTTGCGACCATCCTGAACTAACAAGAACACACAACACACCACGACAGTCGGCAGCTGACCACGTGTGGCCGCCACACGCATGGCGAGTCGGGCTTGTCGACGGCTGAGGTGGGTAGTTAGTGTGCGGCCGCTCTGATTGATGGATGATGAACCACAGCATGCATGCGGTGTGCCTTGCCTGTCTTAACAGGTCGGTCGCCGACACGCAACCAGTAGCAGCTCACACCCCTGCCAGGAGCGCCACAACAAGCATGACAGTCAAAACACCAATGGCGCCATCGACGGAACCAATGCCGCCATGTCATTGTCGAATGGTCATCCGTCGATGACCATTCGCCGCCCCCACATGCAGGGCACGAACCCAAGGGGGCAAGGGTGCGTCGTGGTGCTAGGGCCTGCCTGCCTTTGTGGGTTACCTTGTCAGTCGGTCGACGCAACCATGCGCATCTATCCTCATGCATGCCGCGGGACGGAAGGAACCATCTGACTGACATGACACACACACAGACACACAACGCATGACACACACGCTGGGCATCACTCACTCATTGCGCTGCTGCCCAGCGATGAGGCAATCGATTGCTTGCAGATCCTCAGCCACTGGAACTGCCAGCCAACAGAATGAAGCGAAAGGACAGATGTGCTCGTGACTGCACTGTGTGTGTATGAATGTATGTGAAGCCTCACTCGGCGGTCACCTCTGGCTGACGGGAGGCTCTTTTTGTTTGATTGCCTCCTTGCGGTCAGCTACGGACAACAGTGAAGATCTGTGACTGCTATGAAGATATATCAGCGCGGCCCTTGCTTTTCCGACAGAGAGCAGTTTCACGGAGCCCCAAGCTTCTGCGAGCTTTTCGTGGAAGAAATCCTGTTTTCCTCAGGTTGATGGCATCTTCTTGTGAGGTATGAAAGCGTCGTAAGCCCCAGCGATGACATTGACTCTCGCGGGGGCTCTGGCTTCAAATCACCCATCTACGACACACGGCATCGCCTTGGGGGCTTTGTACATGGGGCACCAACCGCAGCCGTGTGTCACATTCGCGGTTGGTGCCCCATGTACAAAGCCCCCAAGCTAGTGCCGTGTGTCGTAGATAGGTGATTTGAACCATAGTCCCCGCGAGAGTCAACGTCATCGCTGGGGCTTACGACGCTTTAAACTACGAAGAACACGCAATCAATCCGGGGAAGGGCCCCCTCCTGGTTCGGAAACAAACCCTGAACCCTACAAACCTCGCGTGAGCGGCCCTTCGCAATAGATCTCGACGATGCAGAGGCAGGGAGCATCATAGGATGCGACAGGCTGCTGTGCTCGCCGCAGGGTATGCCCCGTCCCCGATCGGAGCCCAACCTCGCTGCCGCTGCCGCTGCTGCCGACGAGATTGACTACTACCTGGTGCGACGGGCGGGGGGATGCTGGTGCGTCGTGATGGATCTATGACACGCTTGCTCTGTGTGTGTGCAGGCCAATCTGTTCAGCGAGGCTTGACGATGACAGGTCGGGGGAGAGAGACGACTCAGACGAGCACGTGTTTGGTTCACTGCAGCTGCGTGCATTCGTGTGTGTGGTGTCTTCGTGTCTGCCTGTCTGCCTGTCTGTGTGTTTCCAGGGAGACCAGGAGCGAGCCTGACAATGAGGTGCCATCGGTACGTAGATTGAGACGACTCGATAGCGACATGCACTCACTGACGTGGTTGTCCACGAGTACGCGGCTGATGCTGCAGAACGCGCGAGGTGCTCAAGAACAGCAAGGTGCAGAAATGGGGTTCGCCAAGATCGCCATCGAGCAGGGCGTCACCATCGTGCCCACATGCTCGGTCGGCACCGAAGACATGCTCGAGATACTCAAGGTGCGTTCGCGTGCTCGTGCGTTTGTGTGACTGCATCGGTACGTATGTGTGTGGGCGTGTGTCGGTATGTTAGGATGTGCTTATCGACTGGCTGATTGGCAAGTCCAGCCTGACGGCGCCCATCATCAAGTACCCCACGCGAAAACCGAGCGAGTCTACTTCTGGTCAGACAGGAACACACAGACGGACACCTGGGCCGAGGGAAAAATCCACTCTGCACCTCCTCTCTGTCGCGTGTGTGTGGGGTGTGTGTGTCAGATTCGGCGATCCCGTCATCACGGCTGAGGAGAAGAAGCAGCTCGATGCAGTCGCAGGGACCGACGCATCTGACGCCGTAAGCACCCCCACAACCACACTGGCGTCAGTCAGCACGGCCCATATCTTGTCGTGTTGTGTGCTGCCGTCTTGTGTGAGTGTGCAAAAGCTGCAGGAGCTGGCTGCAAATCAGACGACCCCCACGCCGAGACCAGCCGGCCTCTGACACGCGTCTCGTTTGTGCGTCTGAGTGTAGGCGTCAAGGAGCTTCAGCAGCGGCAGGCGGACGACGCCGGGCGGATGCTCCCCGACCGCGTCAAGTGCACCGCCGAGGCCACTAAGGCCGCCATCACCGACCAGGCGGACGAGCAGGAGACGCAGCCCGAGAGTGTGCAGGACATGGGCGACGATGGGAAGGACGGCTGCACGGGGGAAGAAGAGGGCTCGCGAGTCAGAAGGCGATGTGAGCAAGCGGTTTTTGGCCATTATCAGTGTTTTTGGTCGTTCGAAGTCATGTGTTTCGTGGGTTTCTGATATCCGTGCTGTATGGCTGGTGGGTGGGTGGGCAGAGTGTGTCAGGCAGGAGCGTTGTTGCCCGGTAAATGGGCAGCATCCACCCATCTGTGTCTGGCCGCTTACTGTAGCGTCTATCTACCCCGTGGCCCTCTTTTCTCCTATTCATACTAGCTGCTTTTTTAGTGTGGTTGAAAGGAATCACAAACAGACAGACAGACAGACACCCAGACAGACAGCCAGACAGACAAACGGTTGACTCAGCGCAGCCGGACACGTCACGTCTTCTCGGGTCTGCTGCTAGGTCGGTTTATTGATGGATAGGTAGCAAACACATGAGCCGTCTCGTCCTTCCTTGTTTCCCTCCTTCTCACACGCATCTGTGCGGTTCCTGTCTCTGTTCTTTGCTGCCGCGTCGGATGACTCGATTGACTCGACTCCTGTGCAGAGAGGGCGCTTCGCAGGAGACGGGTCGGTTGTGTCGTACAGTGCAGCAGCAGAGGACGAGAACTACGCTGGCATGACGACAAATGGATTTTGATTACAGTGGAGTTGTTGATCTCTCATGTTGTTGCTGCCAGTCGCAGTGGCTGGCTCTTTTTACTATTGGGTCCCTATGTTTTTCTTGACCTTTTCGCCTGTTTGGCGACGGCTTGATTGCTGCATGTGTGCATTCCATGATGCATCATGAAATCAGAATCCGCTCACCATGTCTGAAAAGCAATGCTCTTCCTCGTCCAGTCCGTATTCCACACAGTCGACTGCCAGTAACAAACCAAATAATCCCTCACACTCCATCCTCAATCTCCTGAGCACTGGAACTGGTGCATGCACACTCATGTGACACGTGTCCCTTCCTGGAAAAAATATGTGTATCCGCGTGCATTGCACTCCTTCGTGACGTCCGTCCTGCATCCATATGTACACAAAGACATATCATGGGCTGACGTCAGCCAATGTCGATGTGTGCGTGTATGTCTGTGTGTCTTCCTTCGTGACCACCCTCACCATGCTGTATGCCGATCGCATGGTGTATCTTAGTCGTAGCCCAGCGCGTCGCACAGGCGTTTTTGTAGTTGGGTTTTGTTGCCGCCGACCAGCATTTGGTAAGCCTGAACCATTAGACCAAGAGCAGTACATGCGTGTCTCTGTGCATACGTGTGTGTCCATGAGTCCAAGTTCTTTACTCTGCAATATTCCTTTAACTCCACGACCTGAAATCCACACAGACACAGTGAGACATTCCATGTGTCTGTCCAGCCGTCCAAACGTATCTCTCTTCTATCAGACCAGCATGTTTTTGATTTCTTCTTTTGTCGGCTTTGTGGCGTCCTCGGGGATCACAGGTAGACGATGACTGCAGAACCACAACACACAACAAGTTGCACTACATCGATCGATCGCAGCACCCTGCCCCATATAAAACTCCCCTTACCAACTCACCTGTTGCCTGCCCTTCTTGCTTTGTCTCTTGCGCATCAGAGACGATGTAGAATGCAATGGCTCACCCTTCCAGACATCACAGATGCACACGTATGTAGCTCTCGTCGGGATATTGTTGGTTGACTCACTGACCTCGTCTTGTTTCCCCTCGCCCATCTGCTGGTCTCCCTCCTGGCACGCACCCGTCGGCTTCTCTTCCTGCTTGCCACGGCTGCAACACACAAGCAAGACATACGAAATTCCACATCGATCAACCACAATCGCCTGCCTCATACAAACCCAGGTCACCAACTCACCTGTTGTCCTTCTTGCTCTCGCGCCTTGGTGCCGCAACAAGCATTGCTGCGGGGCGAAGGAAGAGCGGTCGGTTCTCATCGGCGGAGGATGAGAGCTCATCGCAGTTGTCGAAGTTCTCGGCCGGCTGGAACATGCCATCGATGGGCGGGTGAAAGTCACGAAGTATCGACCCATCCAGTCTGTTGACGATGTTGAGGCTCTCGGCGAGTTGGTTGCGCTGCTTGATGGCGATGAAGAGGGCGTCGCGCATCTGATCCCACGTGTAGTCCTCGGGCACGACCCCTTTGCCGTAGTAGGTGCGCTTCTGAACGGTGAACTGTACAGTGAAGCGGCTGAGCGTCTTGGACCAGTAGATTCCTAATGCTGGCAGCACCGGGCCACGATCCCCATTGCGCCGCCCCCCTGTGAGGCTCGTCTTGAGGTGCTTGAGGAGGCAGGTGGCTTTCTTTGTGGCGCTGACGGTGCTGCTCGGCTTGATTGTGCTGGGCTTGGTGCAGCTTCCGTCGTTCTTTGGCGTCCAGTCGCTGTCGCTTTGCATCTGGCCGTCCTTGCGCTGCCCCCCACTAGTCAGACGCTTGACGCGCTCCTCACCGTCGACCGCACGATCGCCGATGCACACCGAGGGGCCCCCGTCGTTGATCTCGTGAGGCATGTCGATCTGCGGGAGTCCAAATTGGCTGGCCATCATGTTGCGGGCGCGGACGGCATCAGAGAGAGATTTCTTGAGACAGCGGACAGTCCAGCGGGCGGGTTTGAAGCGGCCACCCCACGCTTTCTGCTGGCCCTTGCGGCGGGTACAATACGAGTATCTCTTGGTGTCCCAGTATACACCTGACAATAGCAAGGGTGCAAAGAACAATAGAGACATTGTGTTGTGGGCATGTATGTATTTGAGGGTATGATGTTGGGCACCGAGCGTCTCATTGTCGGCTGCGCTTCGCAGCACGTCACAGAAATGGCGGGCAACCATCGAGCCCTTGTTCTTGCCCAAGTTGCGATCTTCATCTATCTTGTCTATGTCTGACACATGCCACAGAGACACACACACCACATACATTTTGAGAATGAGATTGTTTTGCGCGTACTGAGTAGCAGCCGCGGCCGCATCGATGGGGACAAGAACTTCGTCGGCCCGCCGTCGGCCGCATCTGGAGAGCTGCCCAAGGGCAAAAAGCGACTGCGGCGGTGCAGAGGCGGATCACTGTGCTCACATCTGCCGCCCTGGCCCTCTCCCTCTTCCTCCTCCTGTCCCTCTCCCTCCCCCTCTTGTGCTCCCAGAACATCCAGGAACGTCGCAAGTACTGCGGCATGAGAGAGGGGCGGGTTCTGCAGGGCGGGCGGTGCAGGAGACGGATGCCAGCGGGGGTCGGGGACAAGGGGCGGGAGCATGCCATCAGGGTGTTGGCTGCCATCCATAATGTGAGAAAAAGCTGCGAGTCTCAGACTCATCCAAGCTTGGTGCCGGGTGGCACCCCAATTGCGCCACCCGGCACCAAGCTCGCACCTCGGGCTGCTGAAATCGCTCTTCCCCGTGCTGCCGCCAGTGCTGCTTCCCCCTGACCCTTCCTGACATGGCTGAGGGCAAGATCTTCCATGAGGCGTCCGCAGCGCTCGACGCGTGTCGAGCGGGCATAGATGAGGTGGACAACGAGGTGCGGCGGACGAAGGCGGGCGTCATAGACCTGGTCCAAAGCAGAGGGGGACGGTGGGCGGCTGACAGTGCGGATGACTGTGGTGGAGGTGAGAATGTGCACATCAACGCTGGCGGAGAGGCCTTCACTGTCCCGCGACGCTTCTTCCGTTCGCTCGAGGGCACGCTGGTTGCAGAGACCTTCTCAAGTATGTGAGGCAGTGAGACGGTGAAGCAAATCTATGTGCTCATCTCATCTCATGACGTGGGTGTGACTTGCGTGTTCGATGGACAGGTCGCTGGCATGACGGTCTTCTCCGCGACAGCGAGGGTCGGGTCTTCCTGGATCTCCACCCACCAGCATTTGAGAGCTTCGTCAACGAGCTCGTCAGACACCACTGGCACCACGAGCTTCACAAGACGGCCACCACATCTGAACGGCTGGACGTGCCGAGAGAGCTCGAGGATGATCCTTCAGTGGTGTTTGTCTTCAAGCTGCTGATGCAGCCGATGGCGCTCGACACGCCTGTGAGGGATGACGATGCGGCCATGGTCGTCATGGATGTGGCGGAGGAGAGCGAATCGGCGGCGCATGAGAGGGCTCATAGTGCGCTAAGCGATGCACTGAAGAGGCTGGAAGGCTACAAGCGGCGCCTTGAGGGGCTCAGTGGGCGGCTGCAACATCTACGAGAGGCCACGAAGCGGCGAGTGGCACTCATGTCGCCATTCCTGCAGCGCAAGGACGACGGCCAAGGTGCCCAATGAGAGATAGACATGCCGTCAGCTTCGCATGGGCAAGTGTGCACGTCCGTGTTGTGTGTGCGTGTCACTGTTCGTCGACCTTCAGATGAGGAGATAGTGTCTGTGACAGTCCTGGGCCGCCGCGTGTCCACCCGCCTGTCGACCCTCATGGCGATGGGCGAGCACTCCACGATCTATAATCGCTTCCGCCGCTGGAGCGACGCGGATATCATCTCGGCCACACCCATCGACTCTCTGCGCCTCATCGTGGACCTCTGCCGCCGCTTTGCCCTGACAGCCGAGCTTCCCGGCCAAGCAGCACTGCCTGGCGGGTCGCTCGAGAGCGGCCCGATGTGGCGCACGCTCGACGACAAGAGGCAGGAGCTGTTTCTCGACATGCTGGCCATGTACAACCTGAGGCGGGAGGACTTCTGCAGGGGGCCGGAGGGCAGCACTCTGATGTGCGGCGGGGAGATGATTGGACCGCTGGCCAAGTGGATGCGGAGTGGAGAGAGGATGCACCACATGCAACTGCTCTACAAGTGAGACCAAACAAGGAAAAGAGAAAGATCACTTCTCTCTCGTTTCCTGCTTCTTTATTCAGGGCGTCTCGTGATGGCTTCGAGTACATTCGGCTCGCTGAGAAGCTGTCTGATCCGCACCGCGCGCTTCTCATCCTGGTCCGCTCAAGCCCCGGCCGCGAGCTGCTGGCCATCCATCTGGACGGACCTGTGAGGCTCCCACGCACACCCCTCACCGGTGCTTCAATCACCTATGTGCCCATCGCCTTTATCAAGCTCAGAGGCACACACGAGAGGCCATGGACAGGTGAGTTGATGAATGAATGGGTGGGTATCCTATTCTCCCAAATGCATGCCTTTCGTCTGTGTATGTGATTCACTCAGGTCGGATTGCCCTCGACGGCGCCAAGGCTTCCGGCAACTTCGAGGGCTTGATGGCCATCACCAGCAGTGGTGGGTTGTGGTTCAAGGCCAACGGAGAGGTGTGGATCGGCACCGAGGGTGGGAACGACCTCACGCAGTGCCGTGCCAAGATGCGCCGCCGCACCGAGGCCCACGACACGAGCGACGACACGACGAGTCAGCCGAGGTGGCTGGTGGGCGAGGCTGACGAGTTTGTGATCGATGAGATTGAGATCTGCAGCCTGACGGCCAGGGCGTGGGAAGTGAAGGACAGCGAGGGGCGGGATGGACCCGGGAGCAGGGCGTAGGTGTAGACAGACGTCTTGGCTCGTGTGTGGTGCAATGTGTGGCAATGACGTGCATGCTTCTTTATCAGAGTGTGGTTTGTGCTACGTCTTGTTCCATCTCTGTTCTGAAGCCGACGTGGGTGTGGTTGGCAGGCAGCGAGTCAGTTTTTGTCAAAGAGAGTTTGTGTGTGTGGATGTGTCGGTCACTTTCGGCTCGCAGCTCTGTCTGGCTGGGTGGGCGGTGTTGTTGTTTGACTTCACTGCCGTGTGCCGTGTGAGAGTCTGTACCCTATACTCTATCGGTGCGATGAGGGCACGATGTCAATCTGAAATCTATCTTCAAACGCCATACGATAAACGCATCACCGTCCCAAAAAGGCACCCTCTTAAACCACACCCGTCAGCATCCATGACTCTCTGTGTCCCATTCATCCATCCATCCATCCATCTAAACGTCTGTCTATGTGCAGCACGTGAAGGTGAGGGCGTCGCGCTCAAAGCCCATCTTGAAGGCCGAGCGCATGATGCTGAGAACGGCGTGCCGTGACTCGAATCGCGTCCGCACACCGCGGCGAATGTCGCCGTCGGCGAACTTGGCGGCGACTTGCGCATGCCGCGCAGTTCGGTCAGTGAGGTCATGCTCGCGATGAGGGCGCCGTAGAAGACTTCCATCGAGACACCATCCGGCAGACCGGCTGACAACCAACGTACAAACGACGGCATAGTTTGGTTGAGCACGGTGTAGACGTCCCTCCATGCGCGTACCGTCTTCGTTGAAGCACATGTCGAGTTGGTGGATGAGTGGGAGGGATGCGTTGTCGCTACCCCAGAGCATCATGTCGCGCTGCATGTCGTCCCCGGTGATGGCGGACGGTGCCATGTTGATGTTGACGGTGAAGGGTCGCATGCTGTTCTTGTCCTTGACCAGCTGTTCCCGCAAGTTGACCAGGAAGCAGCAAGCCAGGCGCGCCGTGTCGTCGACCACACCCCCGCCGTAAGGCTCCCGCAGATGGATGTGCACTACCCCCTGGACACGTAACGGTGTGCATGTCTGTTTTTTTGAAAATGTGCGGCGGGCAACCGCCTGAAATGAAAAAATGCGGTGGAGGCAGCGAAGATTGAAATTGTGCAGTGGGAGACAGCAAGACATTTGAAAAGATGCAGTGGAGAGACAGGTAGATGAAAAAGTACATGATGATCAGACACTACTCTTTCAAGCTCCAGCACATGTGTGCTCCTCAGGATGCCCTTGAGAGCTGCCTCGACAGTGAAAATGTGCGGTCTTGTCGAGGAAATGGGATGAAAAATTGCGTCGGGCGATCAAACGAATGAAAATGTTCGCTAAGACCGTCGAGAATGAATTTGTGCGCTGGAGAGCGGCGATGTTGAAAAAATGCGGTTTGAAACCGTTACGTGTCAGGGGGTCAATGTGCACACACCTGCGAGGCACAGTACGGACACAACACAAACAAGGCGGAGCGGCACATTGGTTGGTGAAAGAGAGGGAGGCGTGCTGAGCGGCCTGCCTGCATGCCTCCCTCCCTCCCTCCCGGCCTGCCTGCCTGCCTGCCATGGGCTCACATTGGGGCTTTGCTGATGGCCTTGACGATCTTGTCGTTGAAGCGGAACCCGTGCGCCAGCACCACGTGTGCGTTGGTCACCTTGGGGAAGAGTGTGCTGTCCTCCAGCTCAGCGCGCTCGTCCTTCAGAGAAGACGGCGATTGCGCCGGCGCGACCGACTGGTCCTCCTCCTCGCCGTACGTCACGACATTCGCGAGGCGTGCGAACTCCTTGACGAGCTTCTGAACCTGAGCGTCCACAAAGATACTTGTGAGAGCCTCTCAACCTGTACGCGCTTTGAGAGAGAGCGTACCAGAGACGATTGCGACTTGCTCCATTCGACTAGCTCCAGGGCGATGGAGCGTGTCTCTGTGTGAGATGGCAGTGCGTCGATGATGTGCACCTGCTGCTGCACGTCCGGGTGGGCCACTGTCTCGGTAAGGTGGGCGAGCTTCTCGATCAGGCTCTTTCTCTCCATGTCCAGATGCGTCACCATGCAGTAGTCGATCCGCAGCTCCGTCAGCACCCGCAAGCACCCTCGTTCGACGAGCACCTGCCGCAGCTCGTCAAGCTGGTCCTCGCTGAAGCCTTGCAGCGACAGCGGGCCAACCGAGCGAAGGCATGCCAGCGAGCGTCCCTTGGGCAGCGTCTTGAGGAGCTTCACCATGTCGCCCACCGAAGGTGCTCCCTTGAAGGTCTCGAGCTGCTCGCACCCCTTGACCCACTTCTTCGCTCCACCCATGTCGCGGCCGGCATGCAAGTCGAGGTGCTTGATGGCCGGTGTCTGCCAGTTGCGGTTGAGACGCACAGATGGGTTGGGCAGGCCGCGGACGTCCTCGAGTGCGTCAAGCAGCACAGGGCTGCCCGTGGGCGGGAGGGGCTTGGTCGACTTGTCGCGTGCGTCGCGTTCCCGCTGGTACGACGACTGCGCTTGGGGGCCTTCCTCCGACTTCCAGGTGAGCGTCTTGAGGGTGCCCTTGCCCTGCCCGACCGCCGCAGCTCTGCCGTGTGCGTGGCTTTCGACGATGGCCGTATGGGTGCCGGCACACCAGTCGGATGAGTATGGGTAGACGACGCCCACGCTCTGCAGGTTGGTGGCCCGCTGGCCCCAGCGATAGGCCACATCGACGGGCAGCCGCTCCCAGAGGGTCTGCACGCCGCCCTTCTCCGTGCCGTCGATGGTCAGGCGGGTGTAGCCCTTGGCGGCCTCCATCACCAGCGACTTGCCGATGCACGGCCACATGCGCGTCAGCTCCCAGGGCGGACAGCAGCCCATCACCGATGCCAGCGCATTCTGATTGTCGCCCAAACGAACCGCAGCCTGCACGGCACACATTCGAGTCCGTGTATCTGTGTCTATTCCGGTGCCTGTGTGCATACCGGCAGCTCCGGATCAGTGTCATCGCCAGATTTGTGGATCAGGCGGTACGACGGAGCAGGCGGGCCATCGCCACTGGCCACCTTGTCACCCGCCTGTAGACGAAACAACCCGTCAGTGAGGGAAGTCGGTTTGCTGGCCTCCCTCTGTGCATGCGTGGTACCTGTGCCTCATGCTTGTCTTCCTCTTGCTTTTCTTGTTGCTCTTGGCCCTGCTGGCCAGCTGGGCTTGGCTGGTCTTGCTGAAGCTGTGAGCGGCAGGCGGCCACCTCACGGTCAGAGGCCAGGTCGGCAGCAGCGGCCCTCACAGCCTGTTCAGCAAGCGACACCTGGAGCGACGATGACGCGACGGTCAGCGACAGACTCGAAACGGCGGCGCTGGAGCGCTGCAGATGCACCATGTGCGATGCAGACGGGTACTGCACACAGATAGACAGACAGACAGACGGACATACAAGGTGTCCGCAGCACCAGCTCACACGCAATGCAGTGTACGTACTCGTTTCTTGCGACTCATCTCTTCCAGCTCAGCGGCACGGTCGATGACCTCGGTTAGCTGATGTGTCATTCCACGTCACGCACCCAGGTAGACGCGTCTTGTGATGTGATATCCTCCGTGCCTACCTTGGTGCTCAGCGGGCGCATGTCCCTGAGGCGCTCACGCAGATCAAAGGTCTCATTCTGCAGCTGCATGCGTGTGAATCAACACAGACGCACGCATGCGTTGTTGCCGAAAGATCCCGCATGTGGCGCATGTCCTTTTGCGTTGCTCACCTTGTCGAGCACTTCCACATGCAACGCCTCCCGCTTCCACATTTCAGTCATCCGAGTACTCATTTTTGAAGCGCACACAACGGTTTTGTTTGTTTGGTTGGTTAAGGGTTTGACGAGACACCTGTCCCTAAGCCCGGCGCTACCTTCCGGCGCAACCAGGCATCTTCTCTGTCCACAGCACACACCAAACAGGCAACAGGCACATGCAGAATGCATGCACAAGGCCTATCTGCCCTTCCCATGGAGCAGTGGGTGCTAGTCTGACAAGTCAGCGTCAAGCACCCACTGCT